GTTCTGGAACAGTGTTGTAAATACAACTTAACCACTTATTTCTAGTCGTGTCCTCTTTTGGAAGGCCAAACAAAGTAGTTTCGCTTTCACAATGAAACACACAGAGTCACACACGGCGGGCTTGAGTGAGCGGAGGCCGGCGTGCTTGAGTGAGGAACGACCGGCGGGCTTGAGAACGGCGCAGCAGGCAGATTCGACGAAGCAGCAACCACATGTGAAGTTACGCCTTTGCGTGAACATTTGGGTGGTGTTATGCAAATCTTCCCACATCGTGAAATAGACATGTGGGGGCTGGTTAGAAAGAGCAGTTTTAGGTATCCTATCAATGTGATCACACCAGTACAACCTGTTGAACATGCAGTAATTTTATCCCTTACAGGCTCATTTTCACTCCTGCCAAAATTTAAATATTGCGCTACCCTGATTAATGCTTGTTGGATGAAGACAGGAAAGTTCAGCTAAGCACAAGCAGTCAGCTTCAAAGCTCAAAACACATGTATGCTGTGCTATATCCAGCTGGACGCTATGTCATATTCACATGTAAAATTAGCGTTGCCTGGTTTTCTTTATTGGAGAAAATATGATCCTCAATATGCAAAGGTCATTTGATTAAGTGCACTGTTGGTTACAATGTTTACTTGCTTTTTATTCATGTTTTTGATCATTTTATTTTTGAAAAATAAAATGGGCGATGCTAATATGTTACTGAGCTGGGTGGATATTAGGGGTGGAACGGTTCGCGGAAAAAAAGCTAGGATCGCGGTTCAACTTAAATCTGACAACGCATCTGTAATATGGTTTGCTATAAATAACACGTAAAACAAACAGGGTTCATAATATATGTTTCTGTTGATGGATGCGCATTCTGGCATCCCAATACATTACAACAACAGCGAACTTCAATAAAGATGAATCTTTAATTTATACAGTCAAATATGCAATGCTGTTTTACATTTCATTACTTTATTCAATTTATGTACCTAAAAACTAATGTTAGAACTACCAAAAAAAACCTGAAAATCACTGTTTATTTTATTTGTATCTTTACTCTATTGTATTTATTTGTGATGTTCCTTGTAGTTAGATTATTCTTATTTTCTTTATTTTTATTTGACAGTATAGTTTTTTTCTAAACATAGCACATACCAAACCATACCAAAACCGTGATACAAACCGAACCGTGAGTAAGTTGAACCGTTCCACCCCTATATGTATATACACATATCTACCCATCTCTGTAACATATCAGCATCGTCCATTAAAAAAAAAACCTATATCGGTCCACCTTTAGTTTTATAGGTTTGGTACAACATGAGGGTGAGTACATGACATTGTTAATTTTTGAGTGAACTAACAAAACTAACAATTTAATATCATCTTGTTACATTTGTCACCCCTACTGGCACTATGGAGTTTTCAGTTTGGTAATAATAGCTCTTCTGGCATTGTGCACTTCTTATTCTATGAAAGTACCTGTAACGTCCTGAAATGAGGTCAAATGTTGAATGTAAAAAGCCACAGGGAATGGTTTACTCACAGAGGCAAATAACAAAGGGTTAAAAAATAACACGATCATATAACAGATTGTATTACACTTGACTGGCAAGGTCGTCTGTATGTTACATGCACATACAGACATGTGATCATACTCTTTAACGGGTCTAATTTTCAGTCCAAACTATGAATGGGGAGTGGCTACATATATGTAGGTGTGACCTCACGAGGTTGACAGGGCCAGTGTAATTAGTATCACAATGATTAGTCAGTCCAAAACACAACCAATTATCAAACTATCAAACATACATTTGTTAAATGAAAACAATTCAAATGTAAAAAATAATTACAAAAAGTTGTTACAACCAAAACGACAGTGGAATGTTATGAATGAACTACAAATGGCATGACATAAACAATTTAACAAGCTCACACTTTATGAAAAATGCAAAACACAAACACACAAAGAGATGAACTTTAGACTTCATGCTCAAACCAGCACTGAGGTCAACAACCCCATGTGAAACGTTACACTATATCTGACAGATATAGATTTAGCTCACACCACACCAGTAAAAGCACCAGCAAAAACAGCCCACGTCTAAACATGTCAGACTATACCTGTCATTTTGGCTCCATCTACACTGGTTTCACCCATGCTTGGAGGTTTCTAGTTTTTGCAAACTAAACTGCAAAAGAAAAGCAAAGCTTTTTCTGCTCACACGAAGTACATCTCACTGGTTTAGCTGCAACACGATATATGCACAGTGCCTCCTGGGTATTTTTAGAGCTGCTGTACACACACCCTCTTTTGGACCTCATATGGAGACAACAGTTATAGCTAACACACACATACTAACACAATTGACCCTCCACTGAGCCCGCCTCCCTACGTTACCGTTTCATAAAAAAATAAAATAAAAAAGCCCAGACCAAGCTGTAACTCTTATTAGATTTTTTTTTTATGTTAAAATAATTAAAAAACATCATGACAGCACCAAAATATAACCAGGCTAAATCTTCTATGGCACATTCTGTTCATGTAAAAATAATGTAAGGTAAGATGGGAGAAGACCCTTAAAATAATGTGTATTTACTGTAAAATAAGATAAGATAAGAGTTGAAAATGTACAGAATGATGATGATGATGATGATGATGATGATGATGCATAGCACAAAATGTACATGAATTAAAATTTTACATTTTACTATTTTTACCTGGGGCAAGACGATGTTAACATTTGAATAATGCAAGAATAGAGAACGTACCTTATTTTATATAAGACATAAATGTTAATGAATAAAAAAAAAATCTATTAAATTTTTTTTTTATACATTCTAACAGTGAAAGCACAGACCTAACAAAACCAAATAATGTAATGTATGTATTACATTAACTTTGAGATTCGTTAAACCTGACTTTTAAAGGGATCATGACATTATTTCTTTAAATAATTTTAAAATGTTACTCAAGGTTCACTTAACTGTTAATAAAGTTTAAAAACATTAAAGGGGTGGTTGATTGTGATTTCACTTTTTAAACTTTAGTTAGTGTGTAATGTTGCTGTTTGAGCATAAACAATATCTGCAAAGTTATGAAGCTGAAAGTTCAATGCAAACAGAGATATTGTCTTTTAAAATTATGGCAGTTTAATGCCTACAGTTACGGCTGGTAGGGACTACAATGAGCTACTTCCCGGGTTGGTGACATCACAAAAACTGCAATTTACATAAACCCCACCCACCGGGGAACATACAACAAAGGGGGCGAGGCCATGTTGCGCTGCTTTAGATATGAGGAAGATATGTTGCCATGCAATTTTATTTAACTTGACATGTATGCAGCAACACACCAATTTGAAGTATTTAGAAGACCGAGTATTTATAGATTTTTTTTTTTTTTTTTTGCTGTTTATATTCTCTAGGATGTATATTAGTGTAGTGTAAGTTGTGTTCAGAAGTGTTTAGTACAAGTCATGGGTGAAATGAGTGACTAAGACTTCTGAAAAGGCAAATCATGTAAGCCCGTTTAGCAGTCTGTAACCTTAACAGTTAAATCATTTGGTGTTAAATCACTAATGCCAAAATGTGAAAAAGATAGTGTCATCATCATAAACTTGGACATTTGGAGCATTAAGATGAACATCTGCCCTGGCTAGGTCACCTGGCTTAAAGGGATAGTTCACTCAAAAATGAAAATTCTGTCATTAATTACTCACCCTCAATTCATTCCAAACCCGTAAGACCTTCATTCATCTTAGGAATTTTTTTTAACTCATCCGTTTAAATTATATTAAGCCTTAAAGTTCTGCATAATTAAGGGCGTGGCCACTTGAGTGACAGGTGGATTGCCGCTGCTGTCACCGCCGTCGAGCTAGGTGGACGTGGTTTCAGCAACCAGCTCCCGCCTCTTTGCCCATTTTCGATTATCCAGGAGACGGCCGGCTCCACCTACTTTGAGCTTCAAAAACGCTTTTCAGAAACCTACGGGTGACGTCACGGACACTACGTCCATGTTTTTATACAGTCTATGGTCGTGATACTCTCCAAAATGGTTTTAAGTACTCGCAAGACTTAAAAACACATGCGAATACTGAATGTAACTTTTGTGATAGTGCATCCGGTCAGTGACCGTCAAATGTCCCTGAGCTCGGTTGGACTCGGAAATATTTTTCGAGTCCTAAAGGCTCGAGTCCGAGTAAAAATGCATCAGAGTCCGTGACAAGTCAAAGTCCGCTAAAAGTTGTA